AGAAAGATGACTGAATTGTGTAGTATTAACTTATTTTGTTTGTGCAAATTCAAAAACCCCTCATGTGCAGTGAATAGGTTCTTGTTTTTCCAGCCTGAATATCTCATCCTATAAAGCAATATATTAGGAGACTTGGCCGGTAAAAGGAACAGAAGTAAATCAAAGGTTAAATTTAAAGATGGTTTTCAAGTAATTGTTTTTAGAAATGGAAAATATGCCATTTTTTGTGTGAAAGAAAATAGTTTTTAGCTGAATTTCTAACAAGCATGCTAAAAGTGTAACTTTCCTTTAGTCAGCTAAACGGCAGCATGTGGCAGCAGGTTACTCTGTTGTTTTAACCTTTACAAAAGTATGTTGGGTTTTTTTTTTTTTGTTTTTTATATATCTGTTAAAACTTTCAGTGTGTCCTGACAGTAAAATATGAAACAGATTATCTGTGAAGAAAATTGAGCTCCTCTGATTTCTCTCTGTGCCATCTGCAGGAATAATCTGCTTGTTGTCAGAAACAACCAATCAGAGCCAGGAGAGAGGTCTTAATACTGTCAATCACACTTATGTAGGTGCTGCTTAAGATTGATGTTTTGCAGTAGCTACTGACTATGGAGAAACAACTTACCCTAAAAGGAAAATTGTTTGTCTGCCGTCACTGGTGGCTATGCTAACTAGCCTGAGTGTTCATGGCAGGCTCCGCTGTAGGAAAGGAGCACATACACAAACATGATTGACAGCTCTAAGACACTCCTCCTGGCTCTCACCATGGGAATTTGTCCCATTTCCCCTCCTCCTCCTGGGGTCAGATCATGGGGTCAGACGGGGCCACAGGGACATGTCACAGTTAACATCAGAGAACGGCTCAAAAACGCCAAAGGTTTAAAATTTGACACCAGAAATAATTAAAAATAAGTCAGAGTTGTAAAATTAAACAGCATAGGCAACCTTGAAATGACGTTGAGACGGTTTGATCATTTTAGAGACCTCAGGATCAGTGCCGTTATAAATCGGATTTGACTAGACCGGTGGCCCTCCGAGGATATCTGGGACGATCTGAAGAGTTTGAGTTAAAGTCACCGACTCTGTGTTTTGTGATTCAGGCATCCTGTTTGAATTCCTGCCAACAGGGACTGCAGAGAGAGCCGTGAGCCATGGGGCTTTTGCTTTCTCTTCCATTTAATGAACATTAAAAATTAAAAGCAAGTGAGTTTAGTTGGTGCCTGCTTCAGGGCCTCATATTGTTTTAAGTACCGGAGTCTTCCTTTCTACTCTCTGTTAACAATAGCTTTTAAAACAGCTTTGTTTTCTTCTTTTTTTGCCAAGACTCTTTTGGTCATGTAATAATAAATGAGTAAGTCTGTTAACTGTGGCGATGTCTAACCTCTGTGAGCGATTTTTACACAGGCAGAAAACATTTTTTGAATCCAGGGATTGCTGAATATTTTTAGAGTCCTAAAAATATTTTTTATACCCAGATACTTGTTTTTTTTTTTTGTTTGTTTGTTTTTGTTTTTTCTCAGAACAACCCTGACTTCTTATGACTGTAGTAAATCTAATAATTTGTCATAAGAATATCAAAAATAAGTTTAACAACATATTGATATAAAAACAGAGACTGATGAAAAATGTTTACAAAACAGACTCTGAGAGCAAGTGAGAAATGGAAAAGGAAACATATTTGATTTATTAGCATATCAGATCTGATTTGCCTTTGAAATTAAAACTCGATTTTGTAATTGTTTTTTTGGCTGCTGTTACTAGTTTAAGAAGAACATATTTCTTTGCATCACTAAAGGAATGTGTTCACAAAGAGGGATTATATAGAATTACATTTTACAGCAGGAAAATGTTAGATTATTAGAAAAAAAAGGTAACATTTTATTTGAAGGGGTGTAAAGAACTGCCTTAATGTTTGCTATATGTAACTCAACCCACAGTAAATATATATATTTTTTTGACAATTACAAGTTAATAAGCACAGAAAAGAATCCAACAGCAACTACAAACACTGAACCATCGTTTACCTCCCCCGAGATTAAGAAATAATTGAAATAGACTTATTTACTTTTTATGTGCTGCTCTTGTGTGGATGCGCTGCCAACTGAGCGCAAACTAATTAAGCTGTTCGGGAATTTTTGTTCTCACTCAAGTCACAGCATTGATCGTTCTGAAATGAGTTACTTAAGTGAAAGAAAAAGTGATAAACGAAGCAATCAAATGTGCGTGAAGCAATGCCGAGTCAGCATTTATTGATTGAGGACATAGTGTCAGCGTTCACTGACAAAACCCAGATGCATAAAATTCATTTGATTTCCATTTTATTTGTGAATCTGAGCGTTTGAAGCTCATAAGAGCCAACATGAAGCATTAAACTGAAGTGCTTTGTTTGCACAATTCCCTCTCTAGGTCCTTGTTTTTTTGCTTGGGGCTCTTCAGTCATGTTACGGTAAACGCCAAATGTTTTCGTCTTATTGTAAACGGTCGTCTTAATAATCCTTTATTCCATAAAGAGAACATTCTGCATGTTTCTCTGCGTGGATTATTTGCTCGTTTGGAAGTGTCTCACCGCCGCATCACTAAGATTTGTAGCTAGTCTCTAGATACCGCAGCTTCATTAAACGTCACTTTGGTCACGGCGACTCGCCTCTCGCATGACTGGAAAGCAAATCAAAAGCTTCTTCAAGACAATATGGGAAACAATAAGTCAGAGAAGGTGCCGGGAATCTGTGCTTGTGTTGAAAATTTATGATGTGCAACTTCAAAAGTGAAGTCTGAGCGCAGAGTGTTGAAGCACAATGAAATCAGTTCGTATCTGCGAGAGAGGTAACTGGATTTATTGTCGAAATTGCTCAGAGCTATAAAGCTGTCGTGGGTTCAGCCTCGGAGCATCGGGGACGGTCCCCCCTCCAGAGACTGCTGTGAGACGAGAATAAATAAAGGGCTTCGGGGTGCAGAGGTGTAAGGGGAAAACAAACTGGATGGGGAACGAAGACACTGAACGCAACTCGGTGCCTTGCAAAAAAAAAATTAGCATTTTGTCACTTCGTGACAGATTTTATGTTGATTATCGCACAGATATTTACCTGTGAGAGCACTTGTTTTACAAAATGCTCTGCAAAGAAAAATCTTAAAAGTGTGGCGTGAATTTGTATCTCCGAGTCAATACATTTCAGATCCAGGGTCAGAGCTAGAGGTGGTGGCCAGCGTTGTCCTGGAAACTGGTTGGAAAGCTCACTTGGTGTCATCCAAGGTGACAGACAGGTCACTACACGGGGTAGTGACCTGTCTGTCACTACCCCTGACCGGGGTCTTTCTGTCTGTCTCGCACGCTCCCATTTTATAACAGTCCACAAGTAGTGCTTATCAAACAAGAAGAGCAGCGGGGGAGACGCTGAAAGCATGTTTGTTTTACCAGCATGTGAAGAAAAACACACAGGGAATTGTTGCAAGTTTGACAGACCCGTAAATCGATTAAAAGCTGCACTTATGAGGCCAATCTTTGTAATTAGAGATGCTGCATTTTGCTTACAGTCTTTGAAACAGGCTGCACCATCCTCCACTGTTTAACATCAGAACTACAGGAGATCAGCTGCACATCAAGCACTAACTATAGAAAAAAAAAATTAAATGACCGCTCAGTATTAAACAAAAAAAAAAAAAAACGTTTCACACAGATGTATCAGTCCCCAAAGGAATTACCAGAAGCTTTGCAACAGGCCAAGGAGAAAAATGACTGAACTGTTGCTTGATGGTCCAAAGTCCTCCATTTATTGCATTTTATGTGGAAAACAAGATGCCACAGTGTGGAGGAAGAGAGATGTAAAGAATCAGAGTTGCAAGAGTTTTGTTATGAAGGTCATGCCAGAGCCAAGACCTGATACAACTCATATTGGATAACTGTAAGAGATTTATTATAAGCTTTAGATTAATTTGCAAAGCATTTTTCTTTAGAAAATGCATGGAAGTTTTAGCGTAACGTGTGAATACGTTAGCTCCTGATTTACATTAAACAAAGGGGGATCTTTCTAATGCAATACCTCAAAACATCATGTTTAGACTATTCAAGCAGTTTGAATCTATCAAGCTGTGGAGGAGTGCAGAAAAAAAAAACCTTTTCCCGCCCCCATGGTGTCTTTTTAAAGCTTTTTGTAATGCAGAAAAATATACTTTTTTTTTTTCTTTTCAGGAGTTGAAGTTTAAAGAAATCACTGAGCTTTCTCACCTGTAGGTGATTTCACAATGTTTGGGTTTAATTAAGTCTAATGTTGGACTGAGAAGAAGCAGACTGCAGGAGCTCAGGCGGCTGCAGAACGGGAGAGGGAGGCCTGCCAGAGCCGTGACCTTATTTTACATGTTGAAGTTAATGGGAAGGAACAAGCACTGTCATCGCGGTTTCTCCCCACCCTGCATGCGGTGCACACACACATACACAAACAAACAAATTTGCTATCATGGCCCTACTTGCCCCAGTGGACGTTGCTTGAAATGTTTTTGTTTTTGCTTTCTTTCCGACGCTTATTTATTTATTTATTTATTTTTTTAATTAAGGGTTTCTGTCATTTCTGATTCATTGCTTTGTAAATGTTCTCTGACTCACTGTGTGTTTTCTTCCAAAACTGAAGGTGGTGGCCTTAGGGAAGAACACCAGGGGATACCACTATATCGTAGCCAACCTGGTAAGAGCTAGCACAGACTCAACACACAATGGTGCTCGGTGTGATGCAATTAAGTCAAAAAGAATGAAACCCTCACATTTAACTCCACGGCAAAAAGTCACACGACTACGGCCACGATGGAAAAGCTAAATCGCTTTCTAAAGTTTCTTGCTTTATTATCAGCTAGTCATGCTTTTTGCTCTCAGGGGATCTCCAACACGAGTCTGGACAAGGTCTTTTCTGGTGGGGCCAACATCACAAGCTTCCAAATCATCAACCCAGACAGCCCCATCGTGCAGCAGTTCCTCCAGCGCTGGGAGCGCTTGGATGAAAGAGAATTTCCAGAAGCCAAAAACACTCCACTGAAGGTCAGCGAGGCGTAGCTGCCGATACTGCAGAAGCTTTTATTTTTTATTTCTTATTTATGCTCAAAGGCAGGCGTTTCCCCTATCGCTCATTTCCCAAAGTTCAGAAGTTTTAAAGTAACTCAAAAAAGTATTTCTTCCTCATTGATTTGCTGAAAAATGCTTTGATGACCTGTGCCCTGAAATTCAGTGGATTGTTTGAGCAACACAAGGTAATGCATAATTGTGATGGAAAGAATTTCCTACGTGATTTTACCTTTATTTATTTTTTTTTTCATTTTAACAAATATTTTAGAAGAATTTGAATAGTGTTCCTTTTTATGCAAAAGGGCTGCAAGACTGTTGGTGTCTGTTCCAATTTTAAACATCTGGACACCAAAAAGTTGCCGAACGATGCCCAAATCAATCAGATAAGTTAGAAAGCAACTGTGTACTTCAATTTTCTATTCTCAAATTTACTGGACCAGTCAAGCACATGATTGTGCATTAATCTAAAAAAAAAAAAAAAACACTGCATTGTAACACTGATTGTACGTTTAGGGTTGTTGCTCTGCTGGAGACCTCTGTTGGAAGTAGGTCAGACTGGATTTTTATTTAGGGGTAGCAAAATAAAGGGGTCCTAAAGCAAAACACTTCAGACTTTCACCTGTAACCAATTTTGCAAACCCTGTTTCCTTTCCCTACCCCCTCGCAATTATGTGTTGATTGATTGACGGACATAAAAACACACAATACACAACAACAACAACAAAAAAAACAAACTTGTTGCTTTTTTCTAATTATGTGGTTGTCATGAGACAAAGTGTGAAAATGTTATGAATACTGTTTCAGTGCGCTGTACTTGTAGCAGCCTCTTGCTGTGACGGTGCAGCGTTGCGTCGGGTCGCTGTGACGTAACGTCTTGCTTTAAGGTTCTCTTTTGGTCTTTGTCTCAGTACACATCAGCGCTGACCCATGATGCCATCCTTGTGATCGCGGAGGCCTTCCGGTATCTTCGGCGCCAGCGAGTAGACGTGTCACGCAGAGGAAGTGCTGGTGACTGCCTCGCCAACCCCGCCGTGCCTTGGAGCCAAGGCATCGACATAGAGAGGGCACTCAAAATGGTAGGTCTGAGGAGAAACTTTGTCTTCACTTTTGATCCATTCTGAACGTCTGTTTATTATTTTTGTTAGATTTTCTGCCAGGCTGAGTGTTTGCCTTCTTGCTGTGCGCTCAGAACAGGTGTTATAATTGTTTTCTTGGTACAACGGCAGGTTCAAGTACCAGGTATGACAGGAAACATCCAGTTTGACACATTTGGGCGACGGTCTAATTACTCTATTGATGTGTACGAGATGAAGCCTAAAGGTCCCAGGAGGGTAAGTGAGCATGTAGCGTCAAAAACAATCATAATTTAATTAATTCTAAATGAGTTTGTTTCTTGAAGGACCAGCATATGATGTAACTATCAGCACTGTGTGCATTGAGTCATGAATACGGGGAAGTGTAGGACACCACTGTTTGGTTTGTTTTCTCTTTCCTTACTAGCTTTACAGCTGCTGGCTGTAGCTCAGTCGTGCAAATCCTTCTTGTGTCACCTGAGATGCAATTTCCTCAAAGATTTTGATTTGGAAATGATCCTTTCAGCTAAAAACAACAGCCTGGAGTAGAACAAAAATAGAAATTATTTAAAGAGAGTATGCTACCCATCCCAAAGAATGGCTTTCACACCATAATATTTTTCTGCAACCACCTTTAGCTTTGATTAGTGAGCACATTTGCATGTGATATTGTTTAAATAAGCTTACAAATGCAGTTTTAACAGCAATTTCTTCTATATAAAACTTGTTTTTAATGTCTTAATTTATGATCTTACTTGTCTCAAAAATAAAAAAGTAAAATGTTAATGTAAAAAGTATTGAGTGCATAACTGAACATAATTATTTGAAGGTTGACTTTTTTGGTATTAAAACACTTTTTCTTTTATTGGTTGGATGAAATATGCTAATTTTTTTGAGATAGGAATTTTGGGTTTTCAATACCTGTGTGCCAAAATCATCAGTATTAAAACAATAAAAAGACCTGAAATATTTCAGTTGGTGTACAATGAATCTAAAAGATATGACAGTTTAATTTTTATCATTACATTATGGAAAATAATGAACTTTATCACAATATGCTAATGTTTTGAGAAGGACCTGTAGTTAAATGCTCACCTATGAGATGGACAGTGAAAATATGTCACTCCTTCGGATATTTAATTAATAAAAAAAGCAACCACTGCATCAGTTAGGATTGCATAACTAATTTCCAGGTAGAGCTTGATAATCAGTATTGTTTGTTTCTGAAGTAATGTAGAAAAAATCTTAAAATTAAATTGTTTTTTACTGCAGTAGCATAACTTCACACTTAATAAAGAGCCTTTAATTTGTGCACATTTAAAAAAAATCACTGCTGGGATAATTATTATATAACTGAAGCACCATTGTAATTACCTTTAGCTAATTTGTAACTAACTTGCCAACTTTACACGCTTAGTGTCAAAAATCTTTTTTTGAGGTCACACAGTCTAAAAGTTATGTGTCTTTTGATAGAGTGAATGTAAAGAATTTGCTGCTGTTCCTATTTTGGGGAACTGAAAGTCAAAGCAAATCTTGCTTTTTAAATCAAATGTACTGCTCCAAATATAAGAGTATATTTTCTCTCTATCTAAAACTCAGTAGAAAAAAAAAAGTAGGCTGCCATTGTTACCCACAAATGTAGGCATGAGTCAAGAACTTCAGCTCACATTAACATTCAGCTGGAGCTTTTCCATTTTGCCCACAAGCTTGGACCTTGAGCCTGGGATTGCTATAAGGAGCTAGCAAACAAACGCCTGCTACCAGGAGCTGCACTCATTTGGAAAAGCCATTTAGCTTGTTAACTTGACATCTGTAACAGATGTCAATGCTTGTTAAGTTTACATGCTGGACAGCTTCTTTATAGCACTGACAGGGCTGCTGTAGAATAAAGTTAGCTTGCCAACGGTTTGCCTGTAAGCCACAATCAACAGTTAGCATTTAGACCGCCCTACAAACCCATATGTGAATTCAAAGACATATTTAGGTTGAACCTTTACACACATTAATTACATCTTAGCTATTGGTTTTGAGTGCAGTGGTTGTATTTCCGTTATTTAGTATTAGGCAGGCCAAAGGCATGAACAGCGCTGTCCAGAAGATGCTAACTCTAGCGCGTTGCTACAGTAGCTCCATGACCCTGAAGCCCCCACAGAAGCTGACAGCAAAAGGGAGCGGCCCCATAATGTCCATGCAGCTCAGCTCACAAGACGGCGTACATCAGCAGCCCCCTCATGTCCCGTCTCAGTGTGAGACGATATGCAGTGACAACAGAGTGTCTGCAGTGTATTATTTCCACCGGAGAGAAAAAAGAAGTCTGTGTGGCTGAAATAAACAATGCAGCTACCAGAATCATCTCAGGGTAAGTCGGAACAAGGCCATTTTTATGTCCAATGATGCTTTCTGTCGCATGGTATCGTTAAAGTAAAACAGAATGACTGCACTTGCTATACAAGGCATTTGGGAATATATATATCTTGGGTTTTTCCTCACTGGTATTAATTTTATTCATGTTTGGTTGCTTTAGTGGTGCTGGTTTCTTGTTATGTAAGAGAACATTTGCTGAGCCAGGAATAGATTACTCCTACTCTGCTGAAGTGTAGCCCAGGTGAAGTGAGGAGTGCAGCTACAAGCTTTTTATTAAATCATAAATCAAGGGAAACCAAACTGTCTCCAGCTGTACACACGGAGCGGAACAACACTTTACATGCTTGGTGGCGCTGCCGTCCGAGCAGGCGTGAGAACCTTTAATAACACCAGTTTCCACAGAGTCACACAGTCATTAGTGACTTTAATTATAATTATTTATTTACCTACAAGTATTTGTATATTAATTTCTTTTTTAAGTTGATACTCATGTTAATTCACTGTTTTTTTTACCTTGTACAGCATATTGGCATAATAAACAATTGTTTGAAAATATGCTTTTTGAACAATTTTGACCTTGAATTAAAAATATATATTAAAACAATTGATTGAAACACAACAGTTAGCTTATTCCAAATGCTATTAAAGTAATGTAACAATAATTATGATATAAATATTTATAATTGACGAGCAGAAATATAAACAGCAATATGTTTCATATAATTTTTTTTTTCATCATTCTGTTATTTTAAAGTAACACAAGTGCAAAGAGCTTTTTATAATTTTTAAAAATAACTTTCTAAAACCTTGGATCATCCCGACCAGCCCACTGCAAAATGTGCTTTCCACTTCCTGTGATAACTGTGATCCCTCTGTGTCACTTTTTCAGATCGGCTACTGGAATGAGTACGAAAAATTTGTATATATTATGGATCAGCAGGTCACCAACGAATCCTCTTCTGTGGAAAACCGAACAATTGTGGTCACTACTATTATGGTACTCACTCTCAAAGCAGGTTCTAAGTGTTTCACCATAAGATTTCTGCCACTCAAGGTCAAGGTGTCCATTGTTGCAATCTGTCCTGGGAGGGTAGAATTATTTTACTTTTCAGTTGCTTTCCATCCACTCACTACATGTTGAAACAGTCGACTCACAAAGAGTGTTTCAACTGTATCCGTGTGGGTGCCAAAGCATTTTGGTTTTTTTATATTACAGTGGGCTGTTGTAGTAGTGACATCACAATAACGGCTTTGGTAAAGACTAACTATAAAGATAGACATCATCTTATTCACATTCAGTGCGTACGTAAGTAAAAATCTTTCCGCCTCATTAAGTAATTTGTCAGTGATGGTGGTTTACATAGAGTTAATATGATCAGTAGGTAAGGGAGGCTTAGGTTGTTTTTTTTTTAAATAGACCAGGATCAGGACAAGACACAGCGCTAGCGGCATTAGCTTCAGGTTAGAAATCATTAGCCATTTTTAAATGTACGATAAGGTGCTCCTTATCGTACATTTAAAACCATGGCTTTCTCGTTCCTTCTGACTTTGTCTATTATGTCTGCATCTTAGGCAAATTCAGAATGTAATAGTCACACATTCCCATTTCAGCCTCTGAAAACTCATTGTCATCTCAGCTAGAGTGGAAGTGCTATTCAGAGTGAGAGAGAGGAGAAGTGGTAGTGTAGTGCCATCGCGTTACTGTCTGTCAGGCATGCTTTTGGTTTAAACAAAGACAGCTGTTATTTTAGACACATCACAGTCATCTCATTGACTTCACATTGCTTTTTCAACTCTTCATAACATTAAAGAATGACATGTTCGATGAAAGATAACTCTTTCATGTTGCTTTGTCAGCACGTGTCGTGCAAAACTGTTCCACATCAGCAGATGTGGAATGTGATAGCCGATCTCTTGGGTCAAATAACCTCTGAAAAACATGTACATGCCATGTGATACAGTAAATCCCTGTTGATTAATACCTCAAGGTGACATTGATTCATCTTTAATGGCTAACATGTTTTACAATTTGGGGTAAAAAGATGTTTTCTTTGAATCTTACAAGCAGAGGCCTTGTGTACCTTTCAAACTATGTAATTTAGACAAGCAGACAGACGATTACTTCTCTTAGAATACTGTGGTGGAGATACTCTGATGTGGCTACCAGTGGTTACTCGAGCAAACACATTTTCTATAAGTTTAAATGACTTTAATGTCTCGGATGTCACTGACGGTTACTTTATGAACTGGAAACGTGCTCCATTCAGCTCGTCCTACAATCTCCATGCAACCCTTTGTCCAATAAGCATTTCCACACATTTAGATAGCATGACCAAGGTCAACAACCTATTCCCTCATCCTGCTCGCTCATTCATGTCCTGTCCCCCTGTAACATCCCTGAGAGGTGTTTGAATCTTTTTTTTAATGTGTCCCACAATTGTTTTTTTGGTTTTCGCCTTGCATGCATGCATGCTTATTTACCGATTTAGGCCTTGTGTGACCCATGAACTCTGGCCGCTGTGGATGTGCTGTTGCTTTCACCGTGAACTCAAAACTATGTCTAATTAACAGGAAGCGCCGTATGTGATGTACAAGAAAAACTATATGCAGATGGACGGCAATGACAGATATGAAGGCTACTGTGTCGATTTAGCTTCTGAAATTGCAAAGCATGTGGGGATAAAATATAAGCTGTCGATAGTGCCAGATGGAAAATACGGAGCCAGAGACCCGGACACCAAGACGTGGAACGGGATGGTGGGTGAACTGGTTTATGGGGTGAGTGTCTGCCTGCCTCATTTATTGGTTTTTAAAAGAGAAATTCCACAAGTCAGTAAATTGAAACCAAACCAAACGATTACAATGCTGAAAAACAACATGCGATTTTGTCATAGTGCTTTGCAAAGGTCTTCATACCCATTGAACAATTTATTTAATTGGAATTGTATTTGACAGAACATAAAGTAATCTAGAAGTATGTGGTAAAATATGTGATGCATGGTTTACTTTTTGATATAATAACATGAATTACTCTAGTATTCTTAATTAAACTCAAGTGTAATCAGACATATTCAGAAGTCACCTTATAAGTTGATAGTCCATATTTTTGCACTTTTTGTTTCTATATATCCAGCTGTTTTGACACAGGAACATAGCAGATGGTTGAGGGATAAAGTTGAGAAGTTTAAAGAAACTTAGAACATCTGACAGAGCTCTGTTCAGTCCATCAGCTGAAAATAGAAAGAGCACAAACTTTCCAAAACTTGATTGACCAGGGATGTTGATCTCCAGTTTTAAGGGTTGGTATCCTGCAACCTTCAAATATGCCTTGGCTTCAACACGCCTGGATCAAATCATCAGGTCATTAGTAGGACAGATTTTTATTTGTAAAAAAAAAAAAAAAAGTATAAATGAAAATCCTTTCAAAGCCATGGAAATCATCCAGTACAGATTTATGCAATACTTACTTAATATCGGTGCTGGGATGTCAATATTTTTGTGTTGCATGAAAATTCCTTTTTATAGAAAAATGCTGAACAGTTCAAGTAGTCCAGTTTTACCCTCAGGAGTGTAACACTGACTTTCAATCAAGCTTTCATGACCTGAAAATGAAGATTGGAACTGTTCCATACTCGATCACATAACAGAGTGCACTTGGCATCGTAACATTAATTATGTTTGTGACGAAACGTGATGCTTTATCCACTTCCTCCGCCACTATTATGTCTGATGGTCAGTTTTATGGTGACCGAAGATGTGGCGTTGGTATCCTAATAAATTCAATAACGTTAACACATTCCATGAGAAGGTCAGTAGAAATACATTCATTTTATGTACAAGTGTGTGACTTCTACGTAAAACCTTTTTGAACTCTGAGCCCTGAAATCTACTGCGCGGTTCTTAACGTGCAGCTCAGGAGTAACTTACCATTGAAGTGGCTCTAAAAAGATGATATGCATCTTTTATGAGACCTCAGCTGCTGAATGACTAATGTTGGAAATCCAACTCAGAAAAGCAGAATGTGAAAAAGATGTGCATGCAAACTGTGTCACTGCAGAATTCCTGATCTGGCTCTCGAGCGTCTGCAGTTGTGTCAGTGTCCGTTTTAGTAACTTAGATCGACAGAGATGCCCCTCTGTTGTAACTGAAATGGCTATGAGAAGACCTCTGTATCATCAGTACGTTTTGTTGCTGTTTATCAGCTCCACAGCTTTTGACTGACTTAATGTTCAGCATTTGTCAGTGAGGTCTCTAATACTAATTGCATGTCTGTGAGGCTTTGCGGAGGATCTTTCAAGGCAGGTTCTGGATTTATGAACTGCTTGCATCAGCTCCCCCTTCCTCTGTTTTCCGACTCTCGCTTTGATTCACGACAGAGATTTGGATTGAGACAAAGACATTAACCAACACAAACGCTGAGTGACTCATTTCCAAATGGCAGATTTGCTCCCACCAGCTTTTTAACATGTCTGTTATTCAATATATACTTAATTGCTGCATTTCTGCAGGTCCATGCTTTTTACTCCGTGAATGCATTGTAAAGCTGCGTTGGTTTGGTTTTGTGTTTAATCGATATTTCCTTGAAATGATTAATATTTAAAGCCCTGCTTGATTTTTGTTTTTTATGGCTTCTCCTGCAAGTCTAACTCCCTCCTGATGTTCCTGCTTCCATGTTTACAGAGAGCTGACATAGCCGTGGCTCCTCTCACCATTACGTTGGTACGGGAGGAGGTGATAGACTTCTCTAAACCCTTCATGAGCTTGGGAATCTCTATTATGATTAAGAAGCCTCAAAAGTCCAAGCCAGGAGTGTTTTCCTTCCTGGACCCACTGGCCTATGAGATTTGGATGTGCATAGTGTTTGCCTATATCGGCGTGAGTGTGGTGCTCTTCCTGGTGAGCCGATTCAGCCCCTATGAGTGGCACTTGGATGAGAACGATGAGGCCAAAGACCCTCAGAGCCCCCCTGACCCTCCAAACGACTTTGGGATTTTTAATAGCCTCTGGTTCTCCCTGGGCGCCTTCATGCAGCAAGGATGCGATATCTCACCAAGGTTGGTTGTTGTGTTCGTTCTCCACCACTTCTCAGATGCCCTTTTCATGTCACATCATCTCGTTGCATTTTATAGTCCTGTACATGCATTCCCATCCTGCAGCGGTGCATATGGGTTATTTTGAGCGTTGCTGTTTCTCCTGTCCACTTAACCTCATGCTCCACTCCGTTGCCCCTTCCTCCCATTTCTCAGAGCAAGAAGCCTTCCTCCTCTGTTTCACTCATTTGTTTTGGATCTGCATGCTGTCAGTGATGACCTCCATCCACAAAATAACTTATATCCACCATGCTGAGGGCTGTAAAATGCACTGAGGTCATTGCGATTCATCCCAGATAACAGCTTGAATTCCTCACGATTCTTGGAGGGCTACCGTGTTTTTGCTGCATGTCTCATTTTACGGTCATCATCTTGGCGCATATGAAGTATTTTGTGTGAAAAAAAAAAACCTCATTGTTGCATTAAAAAGACATCATGTGCTTCATTTTCATCCAGTCCCTCCACATTTCCACCCATCTATCTCTTCATTTGTTATAATCTTGCTTGTGTTGACTTCTTCTAGAAGATTCTAGAAGAAGGATTTAAACATATTTTGCTTCTTTCTAAATCATTTTAAACAGCAAATCACCAGGTTTATCAGATATTTTCATATTACCTTATGAATTGTGTTTATATTCTTGGCGGAGGTCATGTGTTCTGTAAAGACAGATGTTGATTCTGCAACTTTGTGTTTTTGTTCTTACAAATATGTGACAAACGGTCTTTAAGTTGTCTCTATGCACATTGGCTTTTATATAGTATTTTTCCTTGATGGAGAGCTATTTCAAGCTAAAAGGTCCAATAAGTCCAGAAAGTTCAGCTTCTTTGTCACAAAAAAATCTTAACAGTTTTTAAAAATATTTTACACTTTTTTTTGTTTAAAAGCAACTGAGTGAAACAAACTTAGACGTTTGAACAAAAATGCTAATCAGAAACGCTCCGATTTGAATGTCCAATTTCTCTGTCAGAGAAGTGATAGAAGAAATGAGGACGACCTTCAAGGTATTTTTTTCTAACTTCGCTACCGTGGGCAATCATTAAAAATGTATTTAAGCAGTAGAGTCATCATTGTGCTACGTTGTGAATGCAGTCAGCGTACAGCAAGGTCTTAATATTTGTATTTAATATTTGACCAGTTTTGTTCTTTAGTCGTTCATAAATAACAAACCAAGCCGGCGATTTCATGATGTGTGGACTGGGACTCAGTAGGTTTCATACGGAGCGTTTTACATAAAGCCAGTGCTTCACCAGGTTGAGATCTTGTTCGTTGTATTCTGTTTTCAAATGTCACAGCTACTGAAAGAACTTCCCTCGGCTGAAGTCCGGTCATCTACGCCGTCTCGGGGCGTTTCACACCTTTGAAAACTACGTTGAGACACAGTCACATCGAGTTAATGAGACTTGATATTGCTCTCAACAAAAGAATCATCTGTCCAGGCAGCGGTATTCAGTTGATTGTTAGCATGTTATTAATATCTGCATAGGCCACCAGAGAGAAAATGTGGTTTTATTGTTCAGTTGTTTACGGATTGAGTCAGTTCTGATCTGACGGACACAATGGGAAGTGATCCCTTCCTCCTCCTCATGTAGATCTGAGCACTCTGCTCTCATGTCTGCTTCTCTTCCTTCTCCTCCTCCTCATCCCAGGTCTCTGTCGGGCCGTATTGTCGGGGGAGTGTGGTGGTTCTTCACCCTCATCATCATCTCTTCCTACACGGCCAACCTGGCTGCCTTTCTCACCGTGGAGAGGATGGTCTCTCCCATCGAGAGTGCAGAGGATCTGGCCAAGCAGACGGAGATCGCCTACGGCACGCTAGACTCCGGCTCAACTAAGGAGTTCTTCAGGGTGAGTGTCTCAGCTGGTAATCCCCACGCTGCGTATAGATAGGCCCGGTCCAACCCGGTGCGTGCCAGAAGCTCAGAGTCTCTTGAGCTTTCCTTTGGGTTTTGATTTATTACCTGCCACGTAACAGATTGAAGTATAATCAATAAAAGTGCCTAGAACTGTATTTTTTTCTTTTACTTCATACAGCACTTTCAAAGAAGCCAAAGAAAGTTTTACTACAGTTTCACCTGATTAGTTCACTTCATCATAAAGTGTGAAATTACACTTTACTAAAGGAGAAAACAGTTGAAGTAAAATTACAAGCATTTGTCTTTTTCAGTGATTTACTTTGGTATGAAAAGCTCAGATGATGTTCACAGAGCTGAACCTCGGTCCTACTGTCGTTAACATACAACTAAATAATGATACAAGGTTTAGGACAGAAGACCTGCGAACGGTGTGTCCGCAATGCATTTTATTCACAAAATTAACTTTGGTTTCTTCAAATTAACTTTTTTTTTTTTCCCCCAGTACAATAGGATTATTTCTGCCATGAATCTGGGACAATTATGCTCCCTCATGAGCCTGTCTGTGGAGTCATAAACCAAAGTTTGATTAGCTTTCCCACTAATATGCACACTCATTTCTATTTTACATTTCTCTGGAGTGCTGCTGAAATGCAAATATAGTTATTAAACCCACCTCAGACATACAGCAACCTGTAAAGGTACTCATACAACTTTTTCATATTTTGTCACTTGTCAGCTACCTTTTTGAGGAGTTGCAGTCTTTCAGGACATGCTTTGCTCATTTAGATACTGAAATGTATGGTTATTTTCTTGACAAAATAGCTCGTGCTCATTCAGTTTGTAGAGAGAACCTCTGTGGATGTCAGTTTTCGACTCTTGCTACAGATTCTCTGTTTGATTTACGTGTGGACTTGGAGATGATGATTCAATAAAGGATTCCTAGTAAAATCAAGAGATTTCTGGACAACTCTGGCCATCCTCTTCATGAGAATGTCTTGGGAAAACAGAGTGACTTCAGTCAGAGGCTTCTTCAAATCTACTGTAACACAGGCTGCTACTGGAGATCTCTCCTGCCAACAGCCATCAATGTTTAGAATAACTCTTTGAAGAATTTGACTTAATATTTGTTTCAACTTTTCCTTTGGGATCCTGAAAGTCGTTTTGAATTTGAATACGCTTTGATTCAAACTCTTCCTTTGCAGCTCTGACTGCATGTTGAGGTCAAGTCATTTTGCAGCCTCTAACGGAGTTTCTTTTTGGATTGCTTTGTATGTTTCACCATCCATCTTCTCATCACTAATGTCCTCTAATGACGTCACAGAGCAGATTCATTTAAACTGAGATTAAATTGCACAAAAGTAATTAAGTTAGGGTCTTGAATATTTTTTCAAGACACAGCACAGATCCAAAGAGAATATGCCAAAATACAAAATCTTACTAAGAATTGTTTATATCTAGTTTCTAGTGGAAATGCCTTAAGAAAAAAAGACAAAAACTAACTTGAAACTAAGTTTTCAGTAAGAAAAGAGCTTATTTTTAAAGCATAATAATTCCATAATGTTGACTTTTAAAGATGTAGTTTTTTCCACTTATAGCTTAGGAAATGTGACTTAAGTGGGAAAAAATATGCCAGTGAGACTATTACTGTATTGACTTAAAACAAGCTCCTTTATCTTGCTGAAAGGGTTTTTGAAAGTTTTGTGAACTAAGATGTTTGCACGAGAAACTAGGCAAAAATTACTCAGTAAGATTTGCAGTGTACCTGCAGTTCATACTTCAGAAAGTTAAGTCATTTTGAAAAGAAAAAAAAAAAAAACTACACCGAGAAGTGTTTACACTGAGATGTCTCAGTCCGATCAGAGTCGCTCCTTCTGATGACAAAGTTTGAACAACTCAAAAATAAGACTCTAATCTGCAGGCTTCTTTTCGCAAAAGTGCATTCTCACAGATGACGCCATGTTCCTAGGAAATGGAAATGACATTCACAACCAGAGTCCAGCTTAGAGCCGTTTCTATTTTTAGCCCTTGTCGTTCTCGTGGTGTGATTGCTCGGAGCGAGACTGCGACATCTGATAAATATAAAAACCAAGCTCTCCTTCAGACACTGGGAGCAATCTGGAGGGCATTTTGCATTGCTTACATCAGTCCACTGGGAGCTATAAAAAAAAAAAATCACATCTTCCAATCTCCTCTCCTGAGATCCAAACAGCAGGATTGCAGCAGGTTTCTGTCTGTTGGGTTTCATTGTCTGCTGCTGGGTAGAGACGACTTTTTATTTTAATACACAGTCAGTCTTGGAATAATAAAATGAACAAAACTCTCCAAGAGAGAATACGTTTATTATTATCATTATTATTATTATTATTATTTTGTTAAAAGGGCTCCACTTAGAGAGGAAATGAGTTGGTAGGGATGTGACTACTTGTAAGATCACTGTGACTCAACGCCTTAATGAAGGCATTCAAGCAGGATGAATTTAAGTGCCAAAGTTAGCCAAGTTCTGAAGGAATGGCCTGAAGCATTTTTTTTTTTATTTAACAATTGTGCACAAGAAAGTGTAACTTAGAACCTCCCTTGTGCGGTGATTCAAAAGTACTAACAAATTGATTCAATGGAAAACAATATCCGATTAAAATCTGTTTAGGGGGGTTTAGGATGATTATATTCCATTCTAAAAATAAAAGATGAAAGCATTTTTAATGCCTTATATGTCAAGTTCTAACCACAAACCATAAAATAGATCTATTTAGATTCATTTTATGTAATTTTTATGTCAATAACCAAACATTTTTAACATAGCATTTTTTTAAAAATGTGATAATTAAATCAAAGAGCATCAGAAAGACTAAAAAAAATCCACACCAAACACGTCCATTTCCTGTGAGGGGAGAGCATTAATCGGGGCACAAACACCCTCTCAAAAGTGAAACAAAGTGGTGGCAGTGTCATGATGTGGGAAGGTTTGCCTCGAGACTGGAATAGACGTTCACCTTTCAGCTCTACAACTACTCCAAACAACCAGTAAGAGCGACAATCCAAGGTTTTAGCTCAAAGTGTATTAGTGTAGAATCTGTGCCAAGGATTTTTTTTTTACTGGAATCTTTTAATTTGAACATTTTTCAAGCAAAAGAATAATCACAAGAAAATTGAAGATGAAAAACCAAAAATGTTGTAGAAATAGAAAAAAGTCGTGCGTCTTGTATTTCCTGAAACAAATTGGATAAAAAAATGGCATACTATACATTACTGACACGTGTTTTAGACTGTAAATCGCTTTTGCTTGTTTGTTTTTGTTGGAACTTTCCTCACAGTTGGAAATGAAATATTTTAGAGGCTTCTTAGTGACTCATCCCACTGAAATCAGCTCAACAGGCAGCAGCTGAAGTCAGGAAATGCTCTAATCAAGGGTCTGTTTGGCAAGACGCGGGTTATTAAAGGTCCTCATGAGCGGATAATTGACAGACATGTTGTGACTTTCTCTGGAACGAGAAGAGCCAGTCAGTTTTTCCGCCAGACTGGGAGAATCGACGTTTTAAGAAACTGTTTTTGAATTAGGAGATCAAAAGTCTCATGATTGATAGCAGCTATGAAATTTCATGCTAATTATCAAGGAAGATGCTTACATTAATACAGATAAATCACAGGGCTCCGGGTGCATAATAAATGGAAGTAACTAACATGGAAATTGCACTGTGACTTTAACTTTTCGCCACGGTCTTTAAAGGGGATTTTATTTTTTTAAACCACAGGGTTTTATGAAGCTTTGAAGTTGTAATTTTTAGCCTCTGTGGGGTTTAAACTTTTTACATGTCGTATCTTCTTTAAACTACATGTAATGTGTGACCTTTCATCCTCTTTGACACTGTTGAAAACTCCACAGTGAAATTTTCCAAACGAACACAAACAGGAATCACATACCGTGACATCGGTTTTCCAAAACGGCGAAGGCGATTATTTTAACGCCTGTTTGGAATCATAAATGGCAGAACCTGATCCTACGTAGCGATGACAAAATCAACACGACATGCGTTACATAAACTATAATTTACCTACTGTAGTTATTTGTTTTCTCCGACCGTGTACACGCAGTAAACGAGTTCTAATTCATAATTAACGTGCATGTTGCTACCAGATAAATATTTAACTTCAGTAAAAGCGTGGCGGCTTTGTTTGGGCTGTCGTCTCTGTCTTTGTTTGGGTAGCGTGACAAACATACACGGCGCCGTGAATCACTCTCATCTCTGTCATCTGCTGACAGACCATCTGAGGAGCTGCAGTTCGTTTCCTGAACGGTCGACTAGATGTAGACGTAAATTTTTGCCTGTGCCGGAGGCCGTCAGTAGTTTGTCAGATCCCACGTTGAGGTTCAGTCAGTTATTAATTGGAAATATTTGTCAGTCGCTTTGTCTCTGCGAAAAACAGCGGCGGCGAGGAAATTTCTCAGCGGTTGTTCCGAGTCTGACAGCTCGAGGAGTCTCGTGGTTTTCCACACAGATGACCATCCTGCTCCTGACAAGCAGTTCATCTTTATGCACCGCAGAACGAGAACTGCTGTTTTCACACTGTGGCCGGGCCCTGTCATCAGCCATTATTGTCATGTGAGGTGTGTTTACATGCACACTCCACTGAACTGAAATCGTGCATATGTCAAGAATGATTCACTTACTTGCCCGAGCCCACAATCCATTACATGTCTGATGAATTATTTATTTTTGCCGTGCACAACACCGAGCTGCCATGGCTTGTCAGCTCACCCGGATGTTTTCATTTGCTTTGACCTACGAGACGCGGCGTCAGGCTGACTCATGCCCGCAACCTGGATGAAATCAGGACCTGGTTCCTTCTCCATCAAACGCTTCAAATGAGCTAGCAAATATACGAGACCCTCTGGTTAGCGAAAAAATAAAGTAAAAAAAATGCCGTCATATGTTAAAATATGAGAGGACTCAAGCTTACGTTAACTCTGTGACGCATCTCCTCCCTCTTGGTGCC